CTGTGAAGGATGAACACTTCAGAGGAATGTTTGTGAGTTACAACTGATAAAGTCTAAATTTGCAGATGGCAAAGGTACAAGATGGGCCGAGGTCATCGTTGAAGGTGAAAATAATAATAGTAATAATAATGATAATATATTTCATACAACATAAGCTGCATGAAAACAAACCAGTTTACAGGTTTGATCATTTTGGTAATGTGAACCGACCGTTATGTACAGCGTCAAGCTATGCAATGGATACCGCTTTTCCTGAGAAATAGAAGATGCATCAACAGAAAGAACGCTAACGCTTCGCAGATAGCAAGGAATGAAACAGATAAACACCAGCATAATTGTTCATCACGCTGAAGCAAGCTGAGTTCGAAAATGGGAATTACTCTGTTATTGTTTGAACCATCAAATATTCTTGAAGATAGGGTGGACAGTACAACCGTGACCTTGGATTGTGTTCGTCCGCAATAGATTCAGCGGCATGGTGCATGCTGGCGGATGTGGTTACTTGGAGTCCATATAGATAAAAGACTGATTAGGTAGGCATGAAAAACGAGTAACAAAGGCGAGTGGTAGGCGAAATCCCAAAACGGAGCACAGAAATATTGCACAGAAGTATATCTACCGTGAAACATTAGGGTGAGTTCATCGTACCGACTGTAAAAGTTACTTGATGAGGTATCCGAAACCAACCATTTAGAGGTAAGCTTATGGGGAAGAAGTCGAAGGTGCATACGAAAGTAGTGGAAACTAAACCGGGGACGAAGATATCACTATGGAATGGAGAGAATGGAGGATTTTGGACCATGTATTCGCTTGTGTGTAGAAAACCTATGGACAAAAGTTTAATGAAGTTATAAACATTTGAATTAAACTCGTGCTTTTTGCTGTAGTGGACAGCGTATTACAACCAGGTCTCGGCATACAGTTCACCATGCTTCCTGTAGCTGTTACAACCCGCAGGTTCGCCGGGCCATGGATGCTACTATCAGGTCCTACTTCCAAAACATCCAGGACAAGCTAGATAGCCGTTTGAAGCCAAAAGCGTTTGTAATTCTTATAGTTCGCGCGATACGAATTTATTTATCTCCCACTGCGGAAAACGCCTCCTGAATTATCTCATCTTTTGTTTACAGAGGCAGACTTTAAGCAACACGATGACCAACCCTAACTGGTAGGTTAACTTCTCAAATTTCAATTTCACGTGATGACACAATCAATGTTGGCATGCACACCATAAACCTTTTTCCCCGCAGTATGTCTGCGACAGTAGGGACGAAAGTGAGTGAAAACCGATAGCTGTAAAACAAGTGTTTATAAATATCGTGCATAAATATACCCTGCGACAACGTGTATTTTAACACTTTTCAATAAAAAGCCGAATGCGTCGCGTAGTGTAGGTAGACAAGGCGACTCTGAAACAGTCGGTGCATGGTGCTGATTTAATGCAGTTGAAGCTGAAACAGTACTGGAGTTTCGCGTAATTAGGTATAAAATATGCTCAGATATGGGACAGTTTACCTAGGGAAACACGACAATCAAACACTTTGGCTAGGTTTATCAGACTGCTTAATTTTAAACCACAGGACTGCGCCATTAAAGGCACCACTAACATTGCTACTAGAACTACAGACACATTAGGAACTCTCAATATATAAACAGTGTCCAACCTGAGACGTGCAGAGGCTACACCTGCTTTTGTTGTCTTTTTCTACCAAAATTTCAGGTGGTTGCAACACGAAAATATCATTATTCTATGAAGAGACTGGACTATGATGAAAACTTACCAAATTATCTGGAAATCGGAAAGCTAAATGAACAAAGGATTTAACTCGAAACCTTGGAGGCGCGCATAATCAAGATGACTTTCAGTGATGGCAGCAGGGCACAAATGACGGATATCCGTCTCTAATTCTCAACATTCCACTTTTTCGAAGCAATGAAACTAGGCTCCTGCGAAAATTACCGTACAATAAGTAAGGGTTACTAATCCCATTCACCTATCTGACCCTCTCACCTTGTGAACATTTATCAATCCTTGGTTTACTCAAATTTCTGTGCGGCCATAACGGCAACGAAAATCTGGATAGGCAGTAAAATCCAGGAGATCAACTCGCCCATTAACTTTAAATTGAATATATTCACGATAATGCTCTGTAACAAACTTCTCTGATACTTCATCAAATAGTGGATATACCTCCTTCATAATGCTGCGTACCTTAACGTGGACAGTATGAAAAGTGCACTGCCATGGGTCTGCAGTTCTTAGATGTTTATTCCTCCGCACCACAGTATCTAATTCTGATGGCGTAAGTCTGTATACCTGTGAACAGCAACACCTGAATGGATATTCACCTGGATTACATGATTATGTGGAAACTTACAGGTTTCCGAAATCGTCATTGCTGGTTCTTTCCGTCTCCGAAGCTATGAGCATAAGTATTTATGGTAAAACAGACGTTTATTTGGGTAACGGGGTTTTGCGAAGACTAATCAAACATGTCGACTGCTTGTAACGGAAGTTTGGAATTTTGCGTGACCTTGGTGCCACCACTGGTGAAAAAGAAAGTATGACTGAAAACAATCTAAACCCTAGCACTGTATATGCTTGAAATTGGCATTTCCCTGTTCATTTCATAACTTGCGGAATCTTCTGATGTTTCTAATCAAGTTTACTGACCTCCCTTCCATACCATCCCGGTCTCCTACAATCTTGTACATTTTCCAACACATATCAATGAGATGATACCCGTAAACTGGCGTTTCTCATGTTAAACTACTAATATGAGAATAAAATATTAATTTTTTTATGATGTTGATGGGGTGGAAACAAGTCGGATGGCCCGTAAAAATCCGCTTAATTGTTGTACGTCGGCATTTCTCAGAATTTTAAATTAATGCAATGACTTGCAGCACTTCCTCATTCGCACGCAACATTTCAGCATTCGTGTTTGACCGGGTTTGGACACTCATCTTGGTTATATAACGGTGGATACTTACTTTGGGCACATACTGATTATCACACGAGTCCTTTGTGGGTAACAAAGCTACAAACCTTAGAATTTTCTAACAAACAGGCGGTTGTAATACCAAATAACGGGCTATGAGTGTGGACTAACAGTGTCTGCTAGTTATAGCGCAAACTTCAAATACTGCGCAGTTTCAATCCTAATCCCAGTCAAACACGAATGCTGAAATGGTGCGTGTCAATGGGGGAATGATGCAGGTCAACGCGCTGATTAGGGATGCTGGAGAAATGCTGAAATGCGACAAGGGCAAGCGAGCTTTAGTCTTCGCAGGGAAGTTAGCGGCCTTAGTCCCCTATGTTGCATTCTTAAGTTCACATTTATTCCTACTTTGTATTCGGGTTCTCCAGGAAGATTAGTTTTTCCTTGCTCAGCTGCACAGACAAGGATTTGTGTTTTGACGTTCTCGAAGCGATGAGGGTAGGCTGCTGCTACAGATAGTCCACCACACAATAGGCAGAAGTCAAAGTCACCAACAGAAAAGTCATGTGAATACCTAGGGAATATCCACATGGCCACCAGACAAAAAAATACGGCTTTAAAAAGTTGCTTAGTAAAAGGAATCGTGCTTCGCACTGACTAAGTTCAGAAGCGTTGTTCGATACTCATAATCTCCTATTCCCATACTGGGTCAAAATACTTGACCTCAGTTGGCTGACGGGTCCCTATATGAAAGCCTTGGTACTGGACGGTCACTCATGGTATTATACTCTTCTCGGTGGCTAGCAGACAAAACCAGAACCCGTAGTTATACCTGTTTGAGATTCTTCGGCTGGGTACACCTGCATTCTAGTGGGTGCTGTTGGTTCCGCTGAGACTTGAGCCCACCACCCACCATTTCAAACCCCAAGGCTTTGCCCACCAGATTACCGGGGTGCGGGGCCACATCCGCCAGTGTAGGTCAAATAATTCCGTCTTCTTTGACAACGGGAGATTGTGTGTCATACAATACCTAGTGGCTGTTTCACAAGAAATGACACTCATGCCTCATCGGCCTAATAGGTGACCTATCGGCCTTTGAAGCGATGGGTGCTGGGTTCAAGTTTCAACGAGAAGAGCATCATTCACTACCATACAGACACATTGAGCTGGAGAGCTCTAAATTGGATGAAAGGTGAGGCCTGGAAGCCACTGCTGGTCACCAATCGGAATACAGGACTGAGTGCAAAGGCTTCCAAATCATGTGCTCCTTGTTAAAGGCCTTCCTGATTTTCGATTCGAAGTTGCTGCTGCTCTGATATCTGACTTATGCAGGACCCAGTATTGAGCGGAAACCGTCAGTTCATATTTCGTGCATGAAGCGAACTATTAAAGTGAGTTCAGTGGGCGCCGATCAAGATGACTGGAGAACTCTTCAACCTATCGTCTGAAGAAGGAATATATTAGTCTTACCATGACTCGGGGTCTTATCATATTTTCCGATATTGTATCTTAGGTGACGATTTTCCTGAGAAAATTATTCCTTCCAACTCTGCAGAACTATTCACTTCACGCGACAATAACAAGAAACTCGTAATCCATGGCTTAGTCATGTGTGTCTGGAAATGTTTTTAACACAAAGTCGTAGACCACTGAAATTCTCAACCAGAGCACATGAATCTGAAACCCTGTACTGACACTTTCATGTTGACCCTGGGTCCCCATAATGCTACTAGTTGCAAGAACAAATATACTGTATCTGAATACCTCAAAGACCTAAAGCCGTTCTGCAAGACCTAGAAGTGAGTACGAAGAAATCTCCTGATTTACACAGGCTCGTTAAACAGATATTGGATTGGTTTGTTCTGCTTGTTTCTGAAAAGCTGGGTTAACTATTTCAGACATAATATTTTCCAATGGCAGGATTAGAATTTAAATAATCGTCCTTTGACATTTTTGACAGCAAGTCTGAAGTTTGAAGTTGAGTTCAAAATTTGTCCACTCCTGCGGGAATTCAAGTTATTTTTTGGTATTCGCATAGCGGCATTTCGATTTTCATAAATGTCTTGTTGCACTGTCCAGTCAGATTACAAAAAGGACGCCACATCTGAGAGCAGTGAAGTCGAGCAGTTTAGATCTGAATACATCATCGAAAGTGAGATTGGAAGGTGAGGAGTATATTTGTGTTTAGCTATTTTCCTACCATCACCAGGGGAAGGTTCGCTAAAGTATCGTTGGTCAAGCATCGTGTAAGTGGCGAATTCTCTGCAGCAAAGATAATAAGGCGATGGCGCTGTGGCAAAGATACCATTGAAAGCATTTTGCGGGAAATAGAAGTAGTGAAAATCAGTCATGATAGTCCTCACATTGTAAAAATGAAGCATTATTATATTGGCGAAAAGGAAGTTGTTCTACTTCTTGAAAAGTAAGTGCGATTCATTTTTAACTTCCTGTATTTAAGACCGCGTATAGCGGAAAAAGAAATAAGGTTGTTAACTTTAAAAAAACGCTCGTATACTAGCGAGACAGAGGCAGGCCCCCCAACACTAGAAGAAGTTGAGAAAGCGGTAGGTAGCCTGAAACGGGGAAGGGCAGCAGGACCAGACGGACTACCTGCTGAGGTGTACAAGAATGGTGGTAGAGTGCTCTTAGTCAGGTTAATGGAAGTGTAGTACTTGTCGTAACCATCTCAGTCAATGAAGGTTCACAACCTCGTCAACTGATTTACCTCTTCTCCCTAAAACTCTACACCTAACTTCTGCATTACTCATGTGGTGACACCACGGAATACGTCCTATATTACGAAGGCAACGGTGATCAAACACCTGAAGCTTTTTTGTATGCTCCACTTTCAATGGCCATGTTTCACAGTCACACAGTAGAACAGACTGGACTGCTGTGCAGTACAGGCGACCCTTAACAGACAAACGAATATCACGGCGGCGCCATAGGTGGCGCAAATTGGCAAAAGCCAATCGAGCCTTTTGTATCCGTGCCGAAATCTCATCGGCAACTATCTCACCAGGGTTGATCCTACTTCCCAGGTAAGTGAAGTGGTCAACACACTCAACCACTTCACTCTCTATTGTTAACCGCGGTGCCGCTGAAGATCAGTGCTGGAGCAAAAATTTGCATTTGGGTTGTGGAAACCGCATCTCAAACATTTTCGAATTCCCACTCAAAGTGTTCAGAAGACTGCATTTTGTCAGCGTCTTCACCTAACAGGACTATGTCATGTGCATATTGTAGATCTGAAGAAAATTCACCTGTGATTGGGTCAACGTCTGTGTAATTAGGTGACGAGAGGGAAACCTCCATAAGAATACCTATGATAAAATTAAATAAGAATAGAGATAGTGGGCAGATGTACAAATATTTATCTCCTAGGACGAAAGAAGTTTTGTGAAACTCAAGAAAATAGTGAGATCGTGAAGTTATGAGATAAATTTTAAAGTTAAAAGACGAATAACGGATGAGAAACTCATCCCTTTTTACAAGCTTTAGAAGTTCACCTTTGTACAGGTTAACGATAACACCATGAGTCACTGAGCAGAATAGCCCTCATAACTTCATTCACGCTAGATTTGGCTTCAAAAGTGTGCTTATGATTCTCGCATGGTTCATCTACAAGTGTTAACCCTACACGAAGTGTTAACAACAGTGTGTCCCAGTGATGAAATTCTAACCCTACTGAAAATTTCCGCTTCTTTTTTGACATTTTTCTCCTAATCCTGGAAAAGGGAGATAAGTTAGTTTTCAAAGTCCTTTTGCGTAACACTTCCTGAGTTGACCATTAAGCAGTAACGGATTAGTAGGCGGCTCAAAGTTGGTAGTGATGCAGACAACTCAATTTGAAAACTACCGACTAGCATACCAATAACCTCGCTTTTTGTCTTTGGCAGCCATATTGTCACTTATGGCTCAAAGAAGGCAGAGTAATTTTTACCAGTTATCGTTCATAGTTACCCTTTCTTTTTTAGGAGCGTTGTGTGATGAAGTAGAACAGACACTGCCAGAGTTTCTATCCTATTGAATGACAAGTAGTACTGTCAATCTTAAGCAGTCTACAGAAACGTCCGTAATATCTCATGTAACTCCGCCGCCTTCACAACGTCACATCAGTGCAGCTAGTACGAGTGTATGTATCTGGAGTTGGCTAAGTCATGTTAAGGTTTCTTTACATCGAGTTGTAATGATGAGTAAAACTAGGCGGTCGCTCTTACCCATTTTTATGAAGAACAGCCTTACTACATCAAAGCAGTGGACCAAACTTTAAAAAAGGATTGTTTGGTAAATATACACATGAGTGTATAATGTGTACTTTGTTGTAGGTATTGCAGCGCTTTTTAAGCGAAAAATTGAATTTCGGCCTTCTCATAAATCTAGGTTACACAATGTTTCTTCAGCCCTTAACTTTATTTTGACGTTGCTTACACGGCAGTTTTTTAAGTGGTTAAAGTTCTTATATTTGTTTGCTTCCTGAATCATTGTTCTACTATGCTACAACTCCGTTATTGTAAATATTTTAAGTTGCTCTCAAGGTGACCTCTATCATTATGTTCACTATAATGAAGAATCTCTTCCGGAATCCACCGTTGCTGAATTATCAATGCAACTTTTGGAGGCTGTCTCATTTCTACATTCTCAATTAATTGTTCATTTGGATATTAAGGTGAGTCACTTCTGCTATTTCGTAAAGATATTGAATTATACTTTGTTATCACTGTCTTATGTAGACAGATAATGAAATGGATTTTGGATGTTCCGAAGCCATCCAGCCTGTAGATATTTGAAATACGAAAACGAAACACATCAACCTGAGCTGTATTATTACGGATTAAAACAGAAGTTAGACCTGGGTGCTGTGATAGATTGTAATCCCGTCTTAGTTTTTTTGTTCTAATAACATTCGTCGCACTAAAACAGTATTATTTGTTGCATAATGTTTCCGACATAATGTATTGTCTATATTCCTACTCGAATAATCTCACAACGTCGGGACATGGTTTGCACAGTTCTAGTTTCCTCTCCTTTTTCATATAGAAAGCAGAATTTTCCATAAACGTGGGACAGGTACTTAATCAACCTTGTTGCATGTATTTAGTGTTGGTTCGACAAACAAAGATTCGGTTAGCAGTCTTAATCCAAGTAGTTTAGTTCATAATATGATCACTCTTGTCTCATTATTTTACCAGTGTTTGGAGCTGTGGGTACGCGTTTGATCCAACTGATGAATCACCGATTCAAATCCCGCTCCACCTACCAAGTTATGGACAGTCAAGTACTATCACTAGTCTTAATACAGTAGGTATCACTCATCGGTTACGGCGTGAATGTGCAAGTGGTTGCTGAGTGCATTTCTTTTTTCCTTTTTCCACAAAGATTTACCAGTCTTAATTTAGCTAAGTTTTGTGCTTGGATAGTCTAATTTACCCTGGTTTTGCTTTTTGAATCTATGGATTTGACCTCACAATCATCACAAGATAGTTAGTTAAGTATATTAATTTGCCTAATTGGATAGAAGCTTTCAATCTGCAAAGCTTATTTCTAATTGATTTAGTGCGTTTAAATTTCACTCTAATCCCAGTCTTGCTGAGTATTATCCGTATCATTCCTTGTGTGGTGATACTGATAAACTGAGTGTGTTTCTTTTCTTTCGTTCCTGTGAATCTCGATTTGAAATATCCTCCTACCTAGGCCATCAGGTAGTACCATATGCCTTGGCACATAGTGGGAGTTTTATTTACTAGATTAATTTCCTGACACATTATCGTCCGTAGTCATATCAAGCTAACTCTACATCTTTGAAACGTTTATATTAATCTAGTTGTCTTTGTGTGATACATCTGATAAACAAATTAAAATAAGACTACAATCCACCACATTAACAAAGTTTTACTTCTATGCGACTATGAGCTAAGTGATTTTTAACACCTGTAACTTTTTCAGCCCGAGAATATTCTTCTTCGACATCCTCCTCCACAATGTGAAATCGCTTTGTGTGATTTCGGTTTGGCCAAGTATTTGAGAAAAAACGAAGTAATTAGAGATCTTGTTGGCACACCAGATTATGCTGGTAAGTATAAGTATTTTTCTCGTTTGGCTTGCTCAAAAAAACAATCATATTGTTAAGTACATGTTAACCACCAAACTCCACATTTCTTCAGCTTAATTATATGGTGCCAAAGTGCATCTAGTAAAACAGTTTAGTGATTCCCCTCAGTTTGAATGCAGTGTTTAGATAGGCTACTCATTAGTGTGGCTTTGCTTACCATAAGCTTATCTGTATGATGTGCTTTTCTGCTTGAGTAGTGCACTTTGTCTATGGGTTTTATAGTGTACTTTCCGACTTACAGGTAGTAATTAGTTGTTGTTAGAAACTAAGACAAATGATATCCTTCTCATCTTTCCTTTTGACGTCAATAAGATATGGGGAAAATATTGTAAAGGGGTGGTCGCTTACGAAAATCTGGCTTAGCTAAATTCATGAATATACCAGATTTGAATTGTTATTTTACAGACTCCTTTTGATCCTAGTCTTCACCTACAAAGTAAACTTTTGACTTTGAGGCGCATATTATTTAAATGGGTCTCATAATTAACAAGTCTTTGTGCATATTCTACCGGTAATTGCTTTTTAAAATTAAGGCAATTAGTGCACTAATATTTCTTGATGTTAACATACGAGTAGACAAAATATATTTTTTTTTACACAAAGGATAAACACTTCAATTTGGCACACTTTTCACTAGCACTGAAACCGAAAGTCAGTGGCATTTGAAAGATAACTTCAAATATTTCATATTACAATATGATTCCAGGAATGACTATTTAGATGCAGTTTCTGAGATCTTTGAGAGTGGATTTCATGCAAACAGACTTATCTTCAGTTTAAACTGATAGGGACAGGCAAACAAAATCAACACAGAACCTCATAAATACTTCACCATAGTATACAAAGAACAGGTGGATAGAAAAAAAGTGATATTAAAGTAGACAAAGTTGTGTGAGACAATGAACAATCTCAAGATAACTGTCAGTGTAGATATTCTAGCTTTAGAAAATGTCAAGGAGGGAATACATCTGCTCCATTGGGACCGATTTTCAGCCATGGTATAAAGTGTCCTGAACCACTGATTTGTTTCGTCCCAAGGACCGCAGCCAGACAGTTTACACCTCCCTAAATGGCTCGTACCAACAGTCAGAGACTGGTGCCACGTCTTGATCTGGTCGGCCTGAACCCTTTTCTAACCTAATCCAACTTCCTCTAGCACTGCAGGGTATGGTAGGCAATGGCTCGGCATGCGCAGTACATATCTAAACGATCTCAATCGACTAGGGTTCACAACCTTGCTCACTCGGTGATTCCACTCAGCACGAGCAATTTTACGAATACGCCTATGAACAAAGCCTTGTAACTGCTTCGAGTCTTCTACTTTTAATGACCATGTCTCACATCCCTACAACAGGACAGAACAGACTGCTGCGCAGTATAATAGATAGTCGGATATCTCACTAGTCGTGCCACAAGTGATGCAAGTTAGCAGATGCCAGACAACCCTTCTGTATCCGAGCTGAGATTTCGTCAGCAACCAACTCGTTTGGGCTGATGCAACTCCTTAGGTAAGTGAAGTTGTCTACACATTCCACCACTTTACTCTCGTTCATTACACTAGGAAGAACTGCAAACCAGTCTCGGAGCATCACTTACATTTGACAAGCGCGAAACGCATGCCAAGCATACTCAAATTTCCACTCAACGCGTTCACAAGACCCTGCATTTCGTCAGGAGCTTCACCAAGCAGGACACTATTGTCTGCATATTCCAGGTCAACCAAATGGCTTCCAGAGAGTAGCTCAATCCCAGTGGTCAGATGTACGTAAAGTTATGTCCGCTAGTGCGTTAAATTGGAACGGTGACAGTGGACATACCTGGTGGACACCACCGATTGTCGTCAATTCTTATGACGATTCGCCATAAGCCCTTACACACCTATGAGTTAAATTAAAGAGCTTTAAGTAGTGTTGTGTATTTGGTTGGTACTTCGTTCACAACTAGACACTGCCACAACACTTCATGGTCGACCAAGTCAAATCCTGCCTCAGGTCAAGAAATATGGAAAGCAACAGCCGCTGGTAGGTATGCCTGTATTCCAGACCCTGCAACGGGGTAAAAATATGGTCGATGCATCCTCGTCCAACTCTATCTAAAACCTGCTTGCTTTCAGTATACTGTTCTCGAGCTCCACTTAGACGTCGAATAACTATGGAACCTAGGATCTCGGACACAATACTAGTCAAACTAATTCCCCAATGATTGTCATTGGATGACTTTTTCTCTTCTTATGGACTAGTCAGAGAAGTAAGTCAGTCTGACTGGACTACATCTGATTGCCATACAGTACACAGAATCTGCGTCACTGTAAGCAGCAATTTCCTACCTCCATCGTTGAAAACTTTGTGTGGTAAACTGTCAGGTTCTGCTGCTTTGCATCGTTTCAGGTTCGACACAACTTTCTCAACTTCACAGAGAGTTGGAGGACTGACATCTACGTGCCACTCAGGTTCAGGTTGGATGTTGGGAAACTGAAGCGTTGTTGAGGTCCAGTAGAACTGCTTCAAAGTGGTCTACTCAGCGTACTACCCGCCTGTTCTGAGAGGTTATCGGCATCCCATCTTTTTCGGTGACAGTTTCGCTAACCATCGTTTAATATAAACTATCTATGAATAATTGGGAAGGTAAAAACATGGCATAGTTTATGTTAAACAATCACTGCCAGCTCCAAAATAGCTTTATGTGACAATTTTTCGGCAACACTGGCTACTGTACACACGTTTTACTAATACACTAAAATTAAATTTCACCTGTTGGGTGGTCAAAGTATGTCGTAATCAGCAGCGTAGAAAGTTATTGTGTTCCATTTTAACATGGGTAGGCGAAGTCTAGAAATCATGTGCACAAAATCTATTGGTTTGTGCTATCAGCAGCTATACCTCATGTATGTTGCGCATAAATGACATCAGGTGTAGAGATTCAGTGTTTATGAATAGTGAGGATTTTTAAGTAGAGGAATCATAGGGCAGAAATGTTAGCGTATTTATGGTCTGCTGTTAATGATTGACCCCCTGGAGGACATCTGGTTGAATTGGAGCATGCAAAAAACATTGTTCTGTTAGACTAACGCGCTGACAAAATGTAGACACTTTTGAGCCCCTTTGAGAAAAAATGTGTAAGTTTGGCATACCTTTTTAACCTTTCAGATGTGAGATGATGCTTCAGGATCGGTCTGCAACCACTACTTGTAGTTTAAAGATAAGGAATGGTGGTAAAATGCGTTGCCGAACGTTTTTATTCATTACTTTACTTTTAAGGTTTTACTGCATTCGTAGGCAAAATGGATTGTTTCAAGTTGTTATTCGTCGTAGACTGACATCAGTTGGAGGAACAAAGGAAACCTGGAAGCACTGGAAAGCCGTTTCGTTCTAGTACGAAACTCCTCAGCAGTGCGCACCCACGACCCCGCCAGGGGTCGAACCCGCGACCTTCAGATTCTGCGGCCAGCACGTTATCATTGAGCCACTGGGCCAGAACCCAATGGTCCATATTTCCAACTTCTGTTAGCTCACGATATAGCGCAACCGCCACCCAATGTCATTGTTGAGTAACTGTCCTCACGATCATCAGGCTTTAACTCCATCGGTCACGACTTCTCATTGGAACTTCGGGAATACTTCTCGAAGCTAGTCACCAATGAGTACCAGTTCAATTGCATTTTTTGAGGGAGTTGTGGAGATTTGGAAACATTTCAAGTTATTATTCATCGTAGACTGGCATCCCAGGTTTCCTTTGTTCCTCCAACTGATGTCAGTCTACGATGAATAACAACTTGAAATATTTTCATATCTCCACAACTCCCTCAAAAAATGGATTGTTTATTAGAGCTGATACAACAGTTTAAATAATTTTGTGCTTGTAAACTGATACTGAGTTGAAAGATGTGGTCTTCATTTAGGCACATGCTTATTATTATGTGAATTTTGCACAATGAACTAACTAATTTCTTATTGTATACATTCGTCACCAGCTCCGGAGGTTTTGAACTATGATCGTATTCATTTCACAACAGATATTTGGTAAGTATCACTAATTCAGTTTTGAATAATCTTTAATCTTGAAGGTACACTGTTCCTCACTGCTTAGTTTGTTTATAGGGATGGCGGTTTAAGATATTAAATAACAGACCAACTTCAATAAAGTAAGATAAGGAAAAATTGTCTATGGACTCAACTTATCACAGCTCATACACATACGATGTCGAGAAATTCGAAGCAACGACATTGGCCAAGAAACGACGAAAATGAGATGATGATTAAAACGAGTTAATGGATGATAGCAGATTCTCTCAGTATTTAAGGGACGATAAGGTGCGAATGTATGTGCATCACTCTGATCGATTTTAACCCATACTATTTAAGCACAAGATATTCAGCGTAGAGACTCTTTTCAAGTGAAGTAAACTAAACACTATGTAATGATGATGACAACAATAATACTGTTCAGGCCTAGTGGTGCTTTGAAGACATCGACGACAAAACAGATATATTCTCAACGCGTCTTCTGACATCAACTACGTTCCTCATGAAACACACTACCGTAGAGCATACTTCTTCTTCTATAGACACTTAAATTTCTTGGTTGGATTCACATGCCATGTATTTCTCGATAGTATGCTAACCTCTAATTTCCGTCTTGACACTGTCAGCTACCTACGCATTTGGGTTGATACAGCCTCTCATGGAGACAAGTGGCAAACGCATGAAGGCACTCGGTTTCCTGCTATCAACTATCTCACCCCAGAAATGGAGTGATGGCTCATTGGTTTGGGGAGCTGACTCACCCAGTGGGTCAGGGGTTCAAACTCCGTTCCGTCTACTGAAGCTCGGTGTTTACTCATGCTAAATGGTGGGCTACGAAAGGTATAATTACAACACTATAAATATTAGCATAATCGATAATACGAATCATAAAAGGCAAACAATCAAAGAAAATGCTCATCATGTTGCTATTTGTATTATCCAGTCACTGATTGGACTGAATTGATCAGTCTCTATTGGTATGTAGGCTCCTGCGTGGATGCCTCCCTATTGGGTGTTTGGATATCATATTTACGATGGATGGTGGCTAGCAGTGGAATTCAGGACACATGTTTCATCCTATTTGGGACTCATCAACCAGATATGCCTACCCTCCAGTGATCGGCGTCGTTTCCGGGTTCGGGTCTTAGTGGGAACAAAATCGCTCACTGGGAGGGAGGTGGATCCGGCTGATGAGTCCCAAATAGGACGAAAGGTGTGTTCTGGATTCTACTCCTAGCCACTTTCCATCAGAAGTGCTTATGTTTTCGTCCTACTGTCTATGATGACTAAACGCAAGTCATATCTAATACCCCACTGAATAAGTGAGCTGGATGTTCTGTAGAAATCATTCAGTGTCCTGGTTCATTAACAAACCTTAATTTAGCATGTTTTCTGTGCATAACACTGTTATTTTATGAAATAACCATTTTTCCATTTATTGTAACCAGTTTCAAGATCAGTAATCGGTTAGACATGAAAACTGCTCGAATAACGTAAGCAGTATACAATTAAGTGAGTGAGGCCGATACGTGAATTACGGTCTACTGTGTTTATTCATTACTATGAAGTTTTTACGTTTTGTATCTCACTGTTCATCCTCCGCGTTTCTATAGGGTTTACTCGTTTGCTGCTGTAGCGCGCAGGAGGGGAATAACTGACAAAATCAACATAGAATCTCGTACACAGGTGCATTGGCTCAAGTTGCTATACTCCATAGAAGTACACAAAGAATAGTTGCGTAGAAAAAGTGATAGCAAAGTAGATAAAGTAGTGTGAGATAATAAGTAATCTGAAAATAAATGCTAGTGTGAATTTTCAAGCTTGAGAAAATGTAAAGAAGTGAGTACATCTGTGCCACTGTGACCAGTTTTCAGGAGGCGAAGGCAAAGAAGACAGTTAAGGAGGTTAAGGTATGTGAGTGATTAGGTCTTGTGTACTACTGGAAGCATGCAGGCGATTGACACTTCCCAGGTGCCCACACCGTGGAAGGCTACTTTTTCTTGAGGTACCTGAAAGAACAAAATATTTATGTGACCGCAGAGCTCCTGGGACGTCTGCTTGATGCTACGATAACTGGCCTTTAATTTGAGAGATGTAATTGGACATAGATTTTGGTTTTGAATTACTACTAACCACTGATGACTGATCTAAGCCACCATAATGCACCATCTAATTGTTTAAGAATATGTTAGGAGTAACTGCTTTTTGTCTAACCACTATCCAACAGACCTTACTGGTATGGTAAGACCTCGATGGAACAAGCGTTCCACCAACATAGCCTGTTGGGTCATCGTGATACACAAACCTGACCACTACGTCAAAGTAGTAGCTATGGATCGGGACTCAGAAGCGGAATCGATGACAACAGAGCGTTATGATAATATCAACACATCTTCGCTTCTCAGTCTCTCCTACTCCGGTCGTTTAAATGACTTTTGATTTTAAATATTTTAGTTGAAGCGATTGATACTGTACTCTATATACTAGATGTTTAACATTGCTTATTGGCGCAAGTGGTCTACAACTATTCATCCTAATCGATAGTATATAACTTACAGCTTTCTTGCCTGTAATGTCAGTACCATTGTTTGTGTCAAGCAAATCTTATTTTCTAGGCTGAATATCTGAGTTTCCAGAAGGAATTACGATCGGGTATCATTTTATTGTTATTATCACTGTGATCTTTGTGTTCTGCAAAGATCTAAGGTAAACGATAGGTAGTGTTGTTTTGCACACATCAGCACTTAACATGCATAGTACATGTGTAAATCCGTTCTCAAAAGATTAAAATAACAATGGAACCTGGCGATAATACTATGTAATCAGTTTAGACCATCGACAACAACACATAAAAGGTAATTAATTGAATGATAGGATGACAGTATATGATATAAGTATGATGCTAGATCTTAAAAATGCAACTCGAAATCGGTCAACTCCTTTTATTTGAAACTTTGACATTTTTCTTGTGTATTTCACATACATCAGTGGCTTGTAAGTCTAAACATGTACGCAACTAAAAGACTTGTTCCTAGAATCTCGATTTCTATTTGAAAGTGATTCTAGTTATTCTAGAAAATCTACTCAAATGAAATATCTACTTCCAGCCAATCTGAGATATTATTGTATTCACTGGAATACAGTTGTGTTAGGCAACAGATTATCCAGATAACACTAGCTGTTGGATAGTAAACAACAGATATCTTCCTAATCAACTTCTAGTATCAAGCCAGCGGATAAGATAAATTCTGAATTGAATGATGAGTCGCTCAACCGAAGCAGTTTGGAAGTTATATATATTCTATACCGCGGTTAGTGAATAACACAACAACAATAGGAAGGGGTCAACACTGAAAAAGTAGTAAAAAGAATACACTTAAGTATTTCGGGATGGAGAAAAAAAAATTAAACTTCTAGAAATCTGCATTGTCATTGTATTTAATTAGTGAAGTATCGTGATAGAGAAGTTTACGAGGTCTTTATTATGAAACTGTATTGTGAGTTAACTACTGTTGTTGGTTCATGGTGGCTTCCGTACCAGTCCGTTCATAGTTCTTTATGACAGATGTTGGGATAATTTCGAATGTCAGGAAGTATTAAGTTCAACACTGAATAAGTAAATCGCGAAACCTTGGTCAGAAGTGTGTTGCTTTAAAAAGACTGTGAATTTGTTCCACATCATGGTGTTCATTCTCATATCCTGTTGTAAATGAAATAAATTGCATCTGTTCACAATCGGTAACAACATAGGCTCACTGATCTAGATGCTTGATTTTGTAACTGTTTGACCACAGATTCAAACAGTTGTATTTACCACAGTCTGAACAGTCGGGTGTGAAGCTGTGGTTCAATGGTTTTGGGAGATGACTGCTAGCCAGTCGGCCACTGGCTCGAGCCCTGCTCCACCTACCGGGGTTTAGACAGTCAGGCAGTATCACTGCGCCTAACACAATAGATATGGTTTGTCGCTTATTGCACGAATGTGCACAAGGTGGCTGAGTGCATTTCGTTCGTCAAACAGTTGGATAGTACCACCATAACTCCCGATTGATAGTTGCTACCTTGACATAGTTGTCGGGCTTGTATATCATAGAGATCCAACGAGCTGTGCTGGTGGAAAGCTCGCTCCCTCGAGATCTTACCATACCAGTAAGGTCTGTTGGATAGTGATTAAAGAAAAAGCAGTTACCATTATAGTGTTAATTACTGCGATATGATGGGAGTTTAAGGGCAAATTTGTACCTTTGACTGGATGACCACCAGTGCCAAACTGATGCTACCTTCTCTATGGGACGGGAGTAGATTAGAAAAGACTGGCCCGAAAATAGCACACTCCCACTTGTCGCGGCATGACAATGCCTGCAACAGAGGTTCACAGTCGGATTCGAACGCAAAATATCCAGCATCTCAAACTTACCGAAATGCCGTGTGCGATCCGTCTCAACTAGATGTCCCTTGGGCTTTACGGTCAATCACTATCCCTTCTTTTTGAGGTATCTCAAGAAGAACTAGCCTTCCACGGTGTGGGCAGCCGGGAAATGCCAACCACCCACACACTTCCAAACTAACGCATAATAATCTTAATTCACGGTTAAGCAAATGAAAATGTATATGACTTCTACTATAATAGGCTAAAATTTTCATTGAGTGATTGCATTCGTCATCATTTAACTTTCAACTAGTCAGAATTACTGATCTACTAAGTAAGCGATTTGAGCTTATCCACCTATTTTTGATATATACTCTTCACTGATAAATGCAATACAATTTTTATTGAGAAAAGTGCTTTAATAATGTAAACAATTTACTCTAGTGCATAAAAATACTCAACTTATGTAGTGTTAATTCTTTTCTGTTAACTTTTAGGAGTGTTGGTGTTGTTGTTTATTATTTGTTGACTAGTGAAAGTCCATTCTGGGATGAAAGTAAAGAACAAACCTTTCTCAATGTATGTCAATTGAAAATTTCTTATCCTGATCAACTATTCCAAGATATTTCACCTGATGCAATCTCTTTCATAAAACGTTTAATTCAAAAAGATCCTAGGTTGGTGAATTTTGTCTAAATCAAATTTTCTAAGAATTTTAAAACTAACCATTTCTTTTTTCTATGATAATAAACTTAATTTCAATAGTGAGATATATTTTCTCTAGTAACTAGGTTCATTGACATATATATTTGGGCGCTTAATTCCAGGCCTATTTACGTGTATCGGCACCTTTTTAAAATGAAACATTTCTAATAGCTTGTAACTTCATTGTTTACAATTCATTTTGTCTCCGTATTCATATAATTTTATATAGTATCTTGAATTCATCTTGGTGGCTTTTCGTCCCATTCAGGACTCATCAACGGGATATACCTGTACCCCAGTGAGTTATGTTGTTTCCCACTGATATTCCAACTTAGCCGAAACCGTTATCCACTGAGGCACGAGAGCCAACTCTTGTGCAATGGGTATCAGTTGTTGTATATTGATACCTGTAATTTCCTGTTGCTTCATAAGGTCTAATTGTTCTAGCTCTATTGACAGTATCTTCCTTGTGATCTGGTGGTGTGAAAGTAAGAAAAACTTGTCGACAAATTGTTGAATCTGTTGACATAAATCACTTGATTTCATATAGTTAGACGAGCCACTATTATTATTATTATTATTATTATTATTATTATTATTATTATTATTATTATTATTATTATTATTAGTCCTTTGGGTTCCTAGTGGAACATAGGGCTTCAGTAGCACCTCTCCAGTGCACTCTATTCTCTGCAATCTTTCGAACCTGGCTCCACGACTGCCTGGCCTGGTGCGTGATGTCCCCGAATGGTCTTCTCAGTGCATGCCCAATCCATCTCCACTTCCTTCTGCATATTTGTTGAGCGATAGCCTTTTTGGTTGGTTCGTTACCAGAGTTCCTTGTTGCTTATTCTTTCTGGCCACCTGATCTTCAGTAAGAAGCCAGTGTAGGCAGTTGTTGATGAATGTCTGTGGTTTGTTTGAAATCCTTTTCATAACGCGTCAAGTCTCTGAGCCATATAGGAGCACTGACTTGACTAGCGTTGGTGTTGAAAATCCGGATGTTGTTCACGATGTTTGTTGAGTGCAGAAGATCTCGACACTGGTTTCAGGTTAATGAACGCCTATCTTGCTGTCTTTCCGATGCTGGCTGGCTTTGACGTCCTCGTCTGTGCCACCTGTAGTTGAAGCAGTGCTGTCTAGATACATGAAAGAGGCTACTTCCTGTAAGTTTCTCTCGTCGATGGTGATTGGAGCTTGTTGTTGTTGGTGGTGGTGGTTGGGTATCTTCATCACCTCCGTCTTCTCTACGTTCACCTGAAGGATGTTCTGTCTTCGCTGCCCTGCCTCTATTGCCAACTTGTTAGTTTTCGCCTGTAGATCTTCAAGTTTGTGTGACACAAAATATCCAGCCAAAGTTACCATATCAGTGATCATTATTTAAACAGTTATTTCTCTAGCTCTTTTTCGTATCCCAAACATATTTAATGTTCGATACATTAATTAATTAGCTACTTCAATCACTAAGCATAGTGAGTTTCGTATTACACTATGTTTTTGTCGTATTTGACATTGTATTTACAAGTATTTCGGTTTAAATATGCTGATTTTATCCAATTGTATATAATTGGCGCATAATCAGTCTCAACCAACAGCCATCTATAATGTTTGATTCGAAAAAAATTACTGATTCTTATTTAATGAAAAGAATTCCAATGTTTTGTTACAGACCAACTATTTTTCATTGATAAAACTAAAATTCTCATGTATCTACGAATGGCTTTTTTTCAAGTAGTTATTCATCATAGACTGACATCGGTTGGATTATATTATATTTTGTCCCTTGGGTTCCTAACGGAACATAGGGCTTCAGTAGCACGTCTCCAATGCGCTTTGTTCTCTGACATCTTTTGAACCTGGCTCCATGACAGCCCACAAACTCTCATTTCCTCCTCGCACGACCTCAATGTAACCCTCGGACGCCCAACTCATCGTTTCCTATCGAGGTTCCACTCGAGTGCCTAGCCTAACGCATGATGTCCCCAGTCGGCCTTCTCAGTGTATGCCCAATCCATCTCCACTTCCTTCCAATGCATATTTGTTGGGTGATAGGTTTTTGGTTGGTTCGTTCCCAGAGTTCGTTGTTGCTTATTCTTCCTGGCCATCTGATCTTCAGTAACGAGCCAGTGTAGGCAGTTGCTGATGAATGTCTGGACATTGGAGGAACAAAGGAGACCTGGGAGCACTGGACAACCGTTTCGTCCTAGTGTCGGACTCCTCAGCAGTGCGCGCCTACGACATCGCCAGGGATCGAACCCGCGACCTTCAGGTTCCGTGGCCAACACGTTACCACTGAGCCACTGGGTTAGAATCCAGTGGTCCATATTTATTTATTTATAATAACCCATTCACGAGTAAAACACATTTTGTAACCATTTTAGCCATCTTACGTCATTTTAACATTCTGATCTTGATAGAGTTGCTCAAAGACCCAATCACAGGTAAATTTTCTTCAGATCTACAATATGCAGATGACATAGTCCTGTTAAGTGAAGACGCTGACTAGATACAGAGTCTTCTGAACACTTTGAGTGGGAATTTGAGAATGTTTGGAATGCGGTTTTCACCACTCAAATGCAAATTTTTGCTCCAACACTGGTCTACAGCGGTACCGCATCTACCAATAGAGAGTGACGTGGTTGAGTGTGTCGACCACTTCACTTACCTGGGAAGTAGGATCAAACCTGGTGGGTTAGTTGCCGATGAGATCTCTGCACAGATACAAAAGGCTCGACTGGCTTTTGCCAATTTATGCCACCTGTGGTGCCTCCATGATATCTGTTTCTGTATTAAGGGTCGCGTGTACTGCCCAGCAGTCCGATCTGTTCTACTGTATGACTGTGAAACATGGCCATTGAGAGTGGAAGATATAAGAAGGCTTCAAGTGTTTGACCACCGTTGCCTTTGTAGTATAGGACGTGTTCCGCGGTGTCACCACATGAGTAATGCAGAAGTTAGGTGTAGAGTTTTAGGGAGAAGAGGTAAGTGAGTTGACGAGGATATAAACCTTCATTGACTGAGATGGTTGGGACAGGTATTACATATGCCTAGTCACCGATTGCCTCATCACACAATGTTGACTGAGGTGGGTGCATGCTGGAAAAGGGCCCGATGTATGAAGTCTCTGACTGTTGGTTTGAGCCATGTGGGACGATGCAGACTAGGTGGTTTTGGTTGGCGGGATAAGAGGAACCAGTGGTTGGACACTCTAGGCAATTTGGCTGAGAAGCGATGTGAGTGGTGCAGATGTATCCCCACAGACATTATCCTCATCTTAACTACACTATACCGAATCTCACCACTTTCTCATTCCTGTTTCCTTTCTTCTCGTACTTGACATTTCTTTTGATTGAATTTTCTTATCTTCATTCTTCACCTCACTACCTTTCTACTTGATGTGGTGATATGATGTGTGGCAACTCGGACCGTTATTCAGTAATGCCTGGTCCTATGTTGATAATGATTGATTGATTGTTTAATCCTATTACACAATACCTAACTGATTTACCACTTTCATCAGTTTCTTCACTCCTTTCTCAGTTATATACCACCTATGAACCATTCCACACATGACATAATCTACTTTATTATCATTCATGCTTCAACTATTATCATAATCCCAAATAATTATGTCATCATCTGTTTTATTATTATTATCATTGTCATCAAAATAGTGTTTAGTTTTCTTCACGGAATATAATATGTATAGGAATGTGTACAGCTTGAAAATATATTCGTTGGAATGAGTCTCTTCGCTAAATTGTTCAATGGACAGACAAAATCTACATTGAACCCTTACAAACAAGCGCATCGATTTGAGTTTGCTACACTTCACAGTAGTATTCAAAGAAGTGAATGGAAAATGAATGATAAAAGCTTATAGGAGACAATTTCAAAAGTATAAGACACATTAGTTAAAGTGTTCAAACTCTTTGATATCTTCGATGCATTTGTGTGTGTGATGGGCTACGTTGATTTTGTTTGTTTACTGGCGAAGGATCATATCCATTACACAGTTGTTGTATTAAAAGTATCATGTAATTTTAAAGTTTTCCGCATATTGTAAGTGATAGTACTTTCAGAAAGTAATAACCCTTATCAACAGCAAATGAAAAGTTTTTTTTTTTATGTACAACAGTTGTACTCCCACTACTGATCTTGAAGTTTCATCTATGTAGAAACGTGGGAAATTTTCGACTTGTTCCCATGTTGTCATACAAGATCATTGTCTTTACGTCAATAATCATCCTAAGAGATTTTATTGGAAATCAAGGCAAACTTTCATTATGAACTGACGCCAGTTCTGTAAGCGATAAAACAACCATATAATCAGTTAAACCACTTAACTGTTCGTTTATGAGTTTTGTTATTCAGTGTCACTTTATACGGCAACGTACTCAAAGCTTGTGTTCTTCAGCCTAAGTTGGAAACTTGGAACCTCATTTCTTAGACCTCTTTATTTTAATTAAGAAGTGAAGATGTGTCAGTTGTGGGTGTAAATGTTAAGTTTTATTCCATAATATGATATAAGAGTACTTTTAGCGTTATTCTCTTGCCACCACTTGAATTTTTGGGTTTCTCTGCAAGGTTCTCTCAGTCTATCAATGCTATTCTTCAATTTACTCCTTTGTAAGGCACGTTGATGTAAACTACTATGCAGTTCTACTTAATTTTAAGTTGAATGTTCTCAGTTGAAGTCACAATGTTAATTTTCATTACGATTGATGTCGATCTTATGCATAGCAACTGGGATTATTGTACGGTTGCCGTCTGGTAAATATTCATAATGACACTGTTACATATTCGGTTTATTTCATAATGTAGTGAGTTGCATATCCTTACCGGGTTTTAAATCTTATCTTTCTTCTCTTCTTCAGAGATCGCCCTTCAGCTGATGATTGCTTCCATGATCCATGGTTCAGTTCCATGAAATCTACACATGATCCCTGTCAAAATGAAGCACTTATTTCGATATCACAAGATTTTACAAGACCGGATAGTGGTCGTATCTTTGGAGAATGATATCATTCATAACAGTAATAGTAATAGTAGATTAATAATCCATCCAAATGGGTTTTGTACAGATCTCTTCGAGTGTTTACCTTTATTTCTCTGTCTCACATTCGAGGTATTTAACGGATAGATGTATTGGTGAGTACTTACTGTTCAACCATCTCCTGTTTCCAGTAGTTGATCTGATAATTGTTGCATCCATCTGGGTCATTATTTCTTCAATAAGGTATAACCGATATTGTACAAATGTTTATAAAATATCCATACATATCTTCAGTGATGCGTTAATTTTTTTTATTGTATTCACTTATGTTATATTCACTCCATTTTGAGTATTAACTAGTTTATGTAATTACAGCAGCTTTTCGGTTTTCATATGAACGCAAATAAATTTCCGAGATAAATTTGTGTTTATGAAATTAATCTCTAATTAGAAATAAGGAATCATTCGTTTAGTCTATCATGACTTCGAATCCATCTCAGCTGTCAAGATTTGATTCCTCAAACAGTATCCTTAGACGTAACACAATAGATTTTGAAGCATGGTGTAGTACGCTGACAATGGGTATTATTACTGAGTGGTATTTTTTCATTGGATTAGTAAGTAATTGTTTGAACTTTGTCAGAACAATAAGAAGACGTATTTTGTCTGAACTGTATTATTTACTTGCGCGACAAGTTTTGAACAATCCGGTCACATATGTACTTGTCACAGGTATTTATATGAAAATTTATTAAGAGATAGGGGGTAAGAATATAAAAAGAGGTCCAGTGAAGGCCAAATAACAATGAAAATCAATCTAACAAAAATAATAGTACATCGAACTTGGTTTCCAATTTGAATTCACCAAGTGACGTGTTCTTGAACTCACAACATTGGCCTAAACTTCCTTATAGCTACAACCTAAACAAATTTAAGGATCCGTTCTCAACACATTTTGTAAATAGGTCTGAAGGAAATAGCAATGTCTCAACGATATGTTTCAAAATCGAAAACTTGGACGTCTGCAACCAACGTTTATGGGTTTAGGTGATTCAATTTGTTTCTGAAGCCACTTTAGAATATACTTCGAAGCCCTCACTTGGATGGATCTATGAGTCACCTCACGTATATTTGAGTTGCTAGATTCAATATGCAGATAATATAGTCCTGTTAGGTGAAGACGCTGACAAGATGCAGAGTCTTCTGAACACTTTGAGTGGAAATTTGAGAATGTTTGGGATGCGGTTTCCACAACCCAAATGCAAATTTTCGCTCCAGCACTGGTCTTCAGCAGTACCGCGGCTAACAATAGAGAGTGACGTGGTTGAGTGTGTCGACCACTTCACTTACCTGGGAAGTATGATCAACCTTGGTGGGTTAGTTGCCGATGAGATTTCTGCACGGATACAAAAGGCTCGATTGGCTTTTGCCAATTTATGCCACCTGTGGCGCCTCCGTGATATCCGTTTGTGTATTAAGGGTCGCGTGTACTGCCCAGCAGTCCGATCTGTTCTACTGTATTGCTGTGAAACATGGCCATTGAGAGTGGAAGATATGAGAAGGCTTCAAGTGTTTGACCACCGTTGCCTTTGTAGTATAGGACGTGTTCCGCGGTGTCACTACATGAGTAATGCAGAAGTTAGGTGTAGAGTTTTAGGGAGAAGAGGTAAGTGAGTTGACGAGGATATAAACCTTCATTGACTGAGATGGTTGGGACAGGTATTACATATGCCTAGTCACCGATTGCCTCATCACACAATGTTGACTGAGGTGGGTGCAGGCTGGAAAAGGGCCTAAGGTGGCCAGACTGAAACATGGCACCAATGTATGAAGTCTCTGACTGTTGGTTTTAGCCATGTGGGACGATGCAGACTAGGTGGTTTTGGTTGGCGGGACAAGAGGAACCAGTGGTTGGAGACTGACTCTAGGTGATGGCATGGCTGAGAACCGATGTGAGTGGTGCAGATGTATCCCCACACACATTATCCTCATCTTAACTACACTATACCGAATCTCAACAGTTCCTCACTCCTGTTTTCTTTCTTCCCGTACTTTATATTTCTTTTGACTGAATTCTCGTATCTTCATGTTGCACCTGACTGCTTTTTTACTTGATGTAGTGCTATGAGATGAGGTGTGGCAACTCGGACCGTTATTCAGTAATGCCTAGTCCTATGTTGATATTGATTGATCGATTGTTGGTAGATTCATTGGGATGTGACATTGGTGTTCATATACTGTAAAAGTTTAGGAGAATGTACAGACTTGGTGGTTTCTTTTTACCGAAGCTAATTGCATAGTAAGTCCTTCTAACAGTGGCGTTGAGTCTCTGCTAAAATATTATCCTTAGAGAGTCAGTCACTCTTGTAGAGAGAACTGATGAAAACATCTTTCTGCAGGATGAAGTAAAGAGTAAGTTTTGGCTCTTTAACTTCTTTGTGCCAACTAAGTTAGTGTTCTTATCTAGTCTTCCAAATGTCATCTGCTCTTATTCCTTGAATCACTCGACGTTACCAACCAACAAGTTTCAACGTGTCAGTGAAAATTATTTTGAGTTTTTAAATTCGAAGTTGTATTGATTCATCTCTTTCATCTTTGCTACTGGTTTTCCAATGAGTCTAATTCACAGTAGTCATTAGATTTTATTTGATTTTCCGTGGTAACTTCAAACGCCTATTTTATCTTCAGATATCTTTCGTGTCCTCATAAAATTAACCTAGAAATCAGTATGATAACATGTCACAGTAAGTAAGTTACACTCATTAAGGTTAAAGGTTATGAATTAAGCTTGTTCCTAGGACTGCAGCTAACGTATTTGAGTTCATTTTAGGGACACTAATCGGTTTTAAGTTATTTAACTAGAATTTCAGGTCATCGATTTGAATTGTGTTTTGGTTTTTTGCTTTTCTATCATTAGATCTTGGAGCAAACAAAGTTAAGATTAAATTAGTTTTCTTAGAATAAATTTAGTAGACTTTTATTAGTCTTACTGTTGAAATTTTGAACATACATTTTCGGTAATGCAAAAATTCCCATTTAGACATTTAGTAAAACAAACAATTTGATCGAAAAAATATTTCTTCTCAATTTAGTTCCTCATCAATGGCTCTACACTAATGTATGTAGCATTTTCAAACGTAGAATTACATACCAATCTAGTGGTAAGAGTTGTTCAATGAAAGGTTATCAATCTCAAAGTATCAAGAAGGTGATAACTGATCAGGCAATTAAGACAGTTAACTAAAGCAAAGATTAATTATCGTAGGAAGATTTTGTGAACAGGTTCTTACATAATTGATATTTTGTATAATGATAACTAAAGAGCGAAAATGAACTGGAGCTATTAAAATACTAGTTATAGTGAATTGTGTGGTGGATGAAATGAAGAGTCTTGTTGTAATAAATGAGCTATACAGATGGCCAAGGCAAAGAAAGAGGCTGTACGAATCTCTTCTGAACACACAGACTTGGCTTGTGTAGGTGGATTCCTATGGCTTCTGCTGTATGTAAAAGACGGACTCGTAGAGGATGGGTGAGGTGAGAAGGAATGTGATAAATAACTTTAAAGGCATTATGAATGTTAACTCGGTGGCCGGTGTCAATCAGATGAGAGAGTATTGAGCTTCGTGTCAATCTGGTTTCCCCTTTACTTAGCCATGAAGGATGATGCTCGGCGATTCGACGACGGACTTGCTTAACTGTACGTCCGGTGTAACTAGCTCCACAAGAGCAGTTGAACTGGTAAATGCACATAGAAGAGGAGAAGTCAGGGAGTCTGTCTTTAGTTCGTGTGGTGATCATCGGCCGGCTGTAGAAAACACAACATAACTTGGCGGCATTAAATGATCTTCTTATGGCATTTCTTAAGCGTTTTGTCACAATTTCGCTGATGATGTCACCTCGAAATTGTAGTCTTAGGATCAGTGGTTTCTTGGAGACTGTAGGCATTCTGGTTTTCATATTGGATGTGTTCATATTTTTAGCCAGGAACGTTTCTGGATATCCATTACTACTGAGTAGATAGTGGATAATTTGAAGCTCTTCGTCAAAAGTATCATCTGAACAGATGAGTCTCGCCCGATGGACCAAACATTTATAGAGATTTCGTTTATATTACAAGGGGACGAAACTCAAGAAGTGGGTGTATTGACCTGTTGATGTTGGTTTCCGATACATTTTCCGCAACACAAAGTCATTCAGTATACTTTTCAAAATTTTTCAGTGGCGCAAAAAAAATTGAATGAATAATAGTTAGAGAATGGATGGACAGTCAACAAATAGTGGAAGAGTAATAAGTAATTAAGATTTTGAAGCAACTAAAAAGTCAGTTTACCTATCTTACTTATTAAATTTTGAGGAAGTTGTCGAGATTTGAAAATATTTTAAGTTGTTATTCATCGTAGATTGACATCAGTTGAAGGAATAAGGGAAACCTGGGAGCACTGGACAGCTGTCTCTTCCTAGTGTGGGACTCCTCAGCAGTGCGCGAGCTAACAGAAGTTGGAAATATGGAGCACTGGATTCTGACCCAGTGTCTTAATGGTAACGCGCTGGCCGCGGAACCTGAAGGTCGTGGGTGCCCACTGCTGAAGAGTCCCATACTAGGACGAAACAGCTGTCCGGTGCTCCCAGGTTTCCTTTGTTCCTCCAACTGATGTCAATCTACGATGAATAACAACTTGAAATATCTTACTTATTGTTCTGTTTTAAGCTATTACCAAGGTGAGGGATCCAGGCATACTCTAAGCCTTTAGTATAATTGTTCTTTATATCATACCGTGATTGATTGGACCGAATTGATCGGTCTCTATTGGCATATTGGCTCATGTGCGGATGCCAGCGTTTTAATGCCAGCCACGATCCATCATTAACATAGTCTAAGCCTTCCTAAAGTTCATAGTATCATATCTTTTCCTTGAGCAGAACAGGATGTAGCACCAGCCAATAAAGTCGTTGACTGTTGATGTGATGAGGTGTAGACTGCCTGGTTGGGTGGGGGTCTTTGAGACGATAGGAATCAGTGGTTGAGGACGTTTGGTGACATGGCTGAAAATTGGTCACAATGGTGTGGATGTATTCACTTCTTGATATCTTCTAAACCTTGAACATTTGAACTAACCATTAACTTCAGATTGTTTATTCTCTCACAAAACTTTGTCTACTTTGATATCAGTTATTTTCTTATCTTTCTGTT